CACAGCACCACTTCTGGCTTTTTTCTTTTTGCTTATGTGGTGCTGAGGAATCGAACCCAGGGCCTCAGGCATGCAAGGCAAGCACTCTACCACTGAACCACCTTCCCAGCCCTCTGTGAGACTCTTATTAAGCACTAAAAAAGCTGGAAGTGGAGCTGTGGCTCAAGTGGTGGAGTACTAGCCTAGGGGACCACACCTAGGCCCTAAGTTCAAATCCCAGGACTAGCATATGCACAAAAAAAAGAAAACACCTTTTTAGTATGTAAGTTTTCAGATAATATGCATATACCTATGCAGATCTTTTACACAGGTACAGTAAATCCCATCATCCAGCTTCAACACTTAGTGATATTTTGCTGATCTTGTTTTATCTTTCTCTCTTGGTTTACTCTTTTTCTTGGAGTATATTTATGCCATTCCAGACATCGTGCTGATTTACTCTCACATATCTCAGAATGAAACCCTAGCTGACAGTTTGATGGTGGGTTTTTTCTTCTATTTCCACTCAAATAAAATGGCTGCTGTCCTGGGTCTGTAGGCATGTCCATGGTGCAGAAAGACCATAATCAATGAGTCAGTCCTCACTTTACAGGCCTGAAGGTTGTTTTCTTGGTTTTACTATGACTGCACAGTGTATAAGCATTCAGTCTCCATCCTTACTCTCTGCACTTCCCCCTAGGATCACTTCATTTCCCCCTCTGCATTTGGAGAAATCCTCTACAATAACTTCCTGTTCGACATCCCAAAGATCCTGGACCTCTGTGTGCTCTTTGGAAAAGGCAACTCACCACTACTCCAGAAGATGATAGGTGCGTGGGACATGGGGCTTAGAGAAAGCACAGACAGCACCCACCCACCCAGCCAGAGCCACAAAAGCTGGTGCTTAGAGAGCATGAGGAATCAGGCAATAGACCAAGTAGTGTTAGGAAATTACTTTATGCATATATGAATATCTGCTCTGAAAGAGATAACTAGATGGCAACTAGGGGAAGGGGAGGGGCCATAAAAAATGTGAGCCACACAATTGCTCAAGGATCTGGAAGTCTTAGGGTTCATCCAAGTGTCAATCAAAGGCAGGAATGCGGAAGTTGGCTTTGACAGTGAAAGTCAGAATAGCAGTAGTTAGTCTTTGTAGTGTAGCATTGAGCTCCAGCACACATCACATCTTTTATCTCCACTGAATCCTCACAGAAGCTCTCAGACAAATGCCATCACTCTCCCCATTTATGGATGAGAAGACTAAGGTTGGACTGCAGAGGACTTTGCTGACAGTACATGACTACTAAGTAGCCATGCTGGCCTTGGGGATCTGTCCCTGGAGCTGTCATTCTTTTTGCTCCTTACTTCAGGGATAATAGGGCCACCTCAAAAATGACATGATTTACTACATTGCTGAGATCAGATTGGGACAAATTTCAGAGGGTTGAGGTTGTGAATGGCACAGAGGTCAGCAGTTTGAGCTTATCAGATAGATGGCTATAGGCTAGACGGTTCAATCAGAAGCAGTGGTAGTGGAATATCATAAAGGTAACACTCCAATGTATTCCTCCTTCAGTTGCAGCTTGAGGCCTTCAGGGATGGCTTCACCTGGATACCCCTGCTAGCCGCTTCCTCCTGAGACTGTAGGACACAGTCTCCTAAATAGCTGCTTGCAAAACTGAGTTCACCTTTATGAAAATCTCCCTCCCCTCCTCTCTCTCTGTCCCTCCTTTCTTTGTCTCCATCCTTTTCTTCCCTCCTATTTTTCCTTTCTTTTCCTTCATTTCCACCTCCCCTCTTGTATCTCCATTTCCTTCCTCCTTTCTCTCCCCCTCCCTCCATTGCTCTATCCTTTCTGTGTCCTTCCTTTCTCTCTTCCCCCTTAATAGGTAATACATGTTAATGGAGAATATTTTAGATCAAGCATGGTGATTCATGTCTATAATCCTGGCTGTAAGCAATATGTCTTAAACCCTATTAAAAAAATAACTAATATAGCAAAGAGCTAGGAACATGGCTCAAGTGGTAGAGCACTTATCTAGAAAGTATAAGGCCCTGAGCCAGGCATCAGTGATTCACACCTGTAATCCTAGCTACTCAGGAGGCTGAGATCTGAGGATCGAGATTCAAAGCCAGCCAGGGCAGGAAACTCCTTGAGACTCTTATCTCCATTTAACCACCAGAAAACTGGAAGTGGTGCTGTAGCTCAAGTGGTAGAGTGCTCGCCTTGAGCTGAAGAGCTGAGGGACAGCGCCCAGGCCCAGAGTTCAAGCCCCATGACCGACAAAAAAAAAAAAAAGTATAAGGCCCTGAGTACAAACTCAGTACTGCCACAAAAATATATTCTTAGAAGGAGATAAAGTATAAAAAGCAGAAAAATAGATACCAGAGTCTATAGTCATTTCTCACTGTATTTTATTAATGTATTAGCTCATGTATAAAATTTTAGATTCAGCCTTTTCATTAAAACTGTCTCTGATTTCTTTTTTTTTTTAATCAAATACTGCAGGACTGATTTAATCAGTATAAAATTGAAAGAGCTTTTAGATTTGTAGTAAAAATCCCAATTTGGGGAAGGGCAAACTTCAAAACAGCAGCCAAGGAGGGAAGGTTAGGGCAAGGGATGAGTGAATAGGCACACTGGAACTGTGGGGACACATTAACTGACCACTGTCAAACCAGTGTAAGTTTCTTGGTTTCTCATGGAAAACATTTTATACACCTAAGTTCATCAGTGTCCAGATACTTATGTTCCTTTTTGTTTTCTTGGCTTGTTGGTGATAATACAACATAATTCATCTATTCTTCATCTACTTCTTGCCCGATCATCTGTTAATCATTTTTTTCCTTTTGCCTTGGAAGACTTTTCATGATTTTACTCCAGAATGAAAGGATGAAGTGAGTAAGCAATAGAAAGTATGATTAGTTAGCAAACAATTACTAGGCTAGTTTCAGTGAGAGTGGAGTGTTTCAGGAGGGCAATGAAAGGAGACAGGAAGAGGGGGATCTCAGGGTCCACATTGGAAAGGATCCATGCTAGGCTTCAGCAACTGGGGAGCAGTGTTACCAGCAGGCCTTGAGTTGAACTGCCCAGATCACATCCCAGCTTAGCTCCTGGCTATGTCAGTAAGCTTCTCTTAGCCTCAGTTTTCTCGTCTGGAAAAAGGAAAAATGGGCAGTGTGTCTTCCCTTTGTGGTGGCTCTGAGACTAAATAGGAGGTGTGTGGGCAGCATGCTGGCAGGACACAAGCACTTGGCAAGTGTGAGCTCTGCCACAATGAGGGGGTGGAGCTTCAATGCGCTTGGAGCAGGGCAGGGAGCCATCTGGTGACAAGGTTAACCTGGCAGCAGACAGGTGGGGAGGGTGGAGACAGGAGGCCATGTAGAGATGGCACATCAGCGTGGGTGTGAAGGTGAGAGCCTAGTTAGCTACTGTAGCAGAAAAGGACATCCAGGAGGCAAATTAAAGGAGGGCTTGGTGAGGTTAGCTGGAAAGAGAAGTCTTACCAGTTCTGGAGGAAACAGGCATTGATTATAGAGAAAAAGGCCCTTTGGGAGGCGGGGGCATATTTGTGAGTAGATACGAGGCCAGTGTTAGGCGGTGAAGATCCAGAGGAGATGAGTTTGAAGAGTAGTCTAGGAAACCTCTGCCTGTTGTTCCTTTTGAGTCACAAGATCCTTTGAGAATCAGATGAAAAGTGAGTTTCATAGATTTCGAGAGTTCTGCTTGTTAGTTTGACCAGCACTTTGTAGTCTAAGCTGTTCTCAACTTGCTGTGTAACCCAGGCTTGCCTTGAACACTATATCCTCTTGCCTTAGCCTCTTGAATGCTAAAATTATGAGTGTGCACCCCTATGCCTGACTAGAAGTGGTTCTTTTTTTTTTTCTTAGCGTTAACCATATTTCATCAAAACAGTTGTTCAAAGAGGTTACAATTGCACACATCATTATAGGAGTGTTTTTCAAGTGTTCTCAGACCCCCAGCTTGAGAACTGTAAGATAGCTTATTAAGGAGAGCCCCTTCTTTGGCTCCTGGAGGGTGATTAACACCCTGACCCTCAGGGTCAGGCCCTATGCATTTGTGTTTAGAGTAGCAGACACCCTGAGGGCCCTGCAGTCAGTGTCTCTCTTTATTAATGCACACGCAAGCATGAACCAGCAGCTCTCTTTTCAACCCTGAAGCAGAAGGCAGGAGGGCAGCCTTCACTTTTGAATACCCGAGAAATTCTTGAGCAAAGCAATCACTTATAAGAGGATTGACAAAGAAGAAAGAGTGAGAGAAAGGAAACTGACTCATTGTCCTGTGGGTGCAAGCCCAGTCCTTACCCTGCCTTTTTTTTTTTTAATCTTCAGGGCTGGCATTGTGAATCAGCAAGCATACCTTTGAAAGCTTGGCTTTTTAGTCCATTTCTCTTGGGGCTGCTTTGCAAACCAGGAGGAAATTGGGTCATGGCCCCTGCCTGAACTGTGCTGATCTGTTTGTCTACAGTTCCATTCACTCTGGGCTTTTGAACTGCTTTTGCCTAAAAAGTAGCAGTTCAAATGATGCCAGGCTGACCCTAACCTTTGTACTATTTCTTTAAGAGATCAAAAGCTAGAAAGGTCTTCACTGTCATTGGAATGAGAAAAAGAAGAGGAAAGGGACTCAGAAGATGTGCCAAGGATAGACTGTGAAATTTGAGCTATCTTGTTGCTTAAAAAATCTGGCTGTCACTGAGTCTCCAGCACTGGCGGTTTTAGGAGAAAGTCCTCCCCCATGCCAGGCGATCAGGACACCATGGAGAACACTGTGTGGCCCTGGGGGGTGTAGGAAAAGACCTCTCCTGTTTGCTGTGTCAGGAAGCACTGCCTGGAGGAGGTGGCACCTGTTTTATAATGGAATGAGCTTCTGCAGGTCCTTCCAGGCAGTGGGAGGAGACAGGTTTGTTGTCTGAGGTTGAGAATTGGTTTGAGGGGGAACTGTGATATGGAGGGTGAAGAGTAGCCCTGGATGCCATTAGGGTCCAGATCTCATATAGACTGTGCCATGGTCAGGAGTTCAGACTTGAGCTTGAGGATCAGGATAGGAAAGTGTTACGAGAAAGGGTAGAGGCTGATGGGGTGGGAGCCTAGCTAAAACATTTCTTGCCTGTCTCAAGGAGGCGGTGGGTACCGATAGTTCAGGTGCATCATCACAGGTTGTACAATCAGCATCCATCTAGAAAAGGTAGGAGGAGCTGCGCAAGCCTAGACTGGAAGAACACAAGTTTCTGGAATCAGGAATGAAGTGGCATCCAGGAAAGTGTTGATGGAAAAATCTAGTCACCTAGCAACTTGCTTACTCACCCAGCCCCAGCAGGCTCCAGGATCAAGCCAGGATTATCAATAAGAAAACTGCAGATTTTCCCAGAGACAGAGGACATGTAAAATTTAGAGTAGCCGACTGTCACCTTAGAAACTGGGGTTACAGTGAAAGGAGGAGCCCTGGCCTCTTAAGGGCACTGGCATTTCTTATCATCATGTCCCCCAGCTAGCTGTGATTCTCCTCCCTTCTTCTCTCCCTCCCTATTTGGGCAGTGGAACTCTGGGTTTCTGTTCTGGCAACCATATATGCTGTACCCCACATGTGCACAGCAGCAGCAGTTACAGAATGGTAGACACATGGAGACAACCTCTGTCTTAATCAAACAAATACAAGTGGCAGTTGAATCCATCTCCAGGTCTCTCTCAAGCCTCTAGCTTGGAGTAGAATGGGTTGGGATGGTAGTATGTTCAAAAGTAAAGGGTAAGGCTGAGCATTACAGGTTCATGCCTGTAATCCCAGCTACTTAGGAGGCTGACATCTGAGAATCACAGTTCAAAGCCAGCCCAGGCAGGAGAGTCTGAGACTCTTATCTCCAATTAGCTACCAAAAAGCTGAAAATGGCTCAAAGTGGGTTGAGCAAAAAAGCTTAGGAACAGCTCTAGGCCCAGAGTTCAAGCTGCAGGAGACATACACACACACACACACATACACACACAAAACAAAGGTTCAAGCTGCAGGACACACACACACACACACACACACACCAAAGGGTAAGAGAAATTTCTCCCTGGAGTCTCCTCACATTTTTGGAGATATGGCCTGGCAACAACCCTAGATTATTATATCCAGGTTTATTGAGCAAAGAGATCATATTTCCTAATTTTCCTGGATGACTGACTCCCACTTTCAAAGCCAATGCTGTCATACAAGGCACGGTGCCCAAAATGTGGTTACTCCCTGGGGATATGAAGACAAGCCAGTTTGACCAGGGCAGGTCTTTTACCTAATGCACGAGGCAGAGGTGCTTAAAAAGTTAAGTTGTATTGAACAGGGCCCTTTGCCAGCCCTAGGGAAGTTTCTAGGCTGGGCCAAAGCTCAGTATCAGCCAGGTCTGAGGCCTTGTCTTAGGTCCTAGCCACAGACAGGCCTAGGAAAAGGGAGAAATGTCATAGATCATTCTTGAAACTTGGTAATGTGCCCTCTCTACTCCTGTCTACCTTTGTCCACTTCCCACTTCTCTCTCTCCCTTCTAGGAAACATCTTCACCCAGCAACCAAGTTATTATAATGACCTGGATGAAACCATGCCCACCATCCTTCAGGTATCAGCACTTGGTCCTGTCGGAGGGGGGAGGGGAGGGGGGAGGGGGAGAGGGGGGAGCTGGGGCCGCAGACCCTCTCCCACTTCATGGTATTATTTGACTATTCTAGAAAGGGGCAGGGAGGTGCTTATTCTCCAGCCCTCTCTCTAGACTCATCTCCCCGCATAGTCGCTCCAAATTCTCATACAGCACTAAAATCTAAGGCAGTTAGATATTCAGAAAAAGTTTTCCGGCACTTTGTGTTGTTTGCCAATAGCTATATGACTTTAAAGATATCCTCCTAAGAGACCTGTGTTCTCAAATAAGAACTTCAGTTTTACAAAATCATTCATTTATGAAAAGTGCTCATTGCAAAATATGGAAAATACTTAAAAACAAAAAAACGGATATTACTGTTTCCTCCAAAGTCTCATCACTAAGAGATGTCCACTGCTCTCAGGAACTTTGGAAATAACTTCTGAATTCTAGCTTGCTTAAAGATGGCGCTGTCAAGTCAATCTTACTTGATTTTGTGATGGACTCTGTTTTTCCCTCTTCATCACTTTGTCATATAGTTCAATATAGCTCCCACAAAGCAGATCTAAAATCTACAGGAATCCAATGACCCATGAAGGTGTTTCTCCAGCGTTCACTATCGTATATTTGCCCTATCTCTCACACATACATATGGTGGTTTTGGCTTTTGATTTTTATTTTATTTGTTCATTTGTTTGTGGGTGGGTGTGAAGTGCTAGAGGTGGAACCCAGGGCTTCATGCTTGCTGGGCGAGTGCTCTCCCACTGAAGCATCATCCACCTGAGCCCCATATCTGGGTTTTGAGCCCTCTCCACAATCCTGTTTCTGTTTTCTAAGTCTTACACAGTTTCTTCTGTGACCCCAGCCTCTGAGAAGGTCATTGTCTCAGTTTCCCAGGAATGACCAACTCTGCAGGTTCCAAGGAATTTTGGGGATCACCTGTCACTGGCTGTGGGGTGGGGCTGACGGCCAAGATTTCCACAGGATGTGAGCAATCTTACTTTTCACAGGTCTTTAGCAATATCCTCCAGCATTGTGGATTGCAAGGGGATGCAGGCAGCACCACACCCCAGAAGCTGGAGGAGAAAGGACGCTTGACACTCAGTGACATGCCACTCCTGGTAAGGTTGCCTCCAGCCCAGCCTCTTTCCAGCTAGAGCCTGGCTCCCTCAAGGCTGGGGAGATTGCCATAATTCTGTACCCACTGGCTTCTTCCCCTGCTCATAGCCCCTTTCTCTGACTAAGTGGCCTTTTTTTTTCCCATGCCACAGGTTAAGAGCATTTTTAGCAGGCTTCATTTGTAGACTGGAAAGAACAGGGCACTAGAATTCAGAGGCCAGGGGTCTAGTCTTCACTTAGATATACACAGCAGGCTCGTTGGGGTGTTCATCTTTGAGCCAGTCATTGATTCAGTGAATTTATATAGAGGAACCACTAATATATCTACCATGTCCAGGACTGTACTGGGCCTTGGGGGGTAAAGCAGTAAGCAAAAGCAGACATGGTACCTGTCTCAGAATTTACCATCTACAGAAGATAACAGACAGAAGGCAAGCATTTAAGGGGCCTGGATGTGTGCCAGGCACTGTACTGAGCACTGGAGGTGGCACGTTGAAAGCCACCCTTCTGGTGCTTGCCATCTGGTGGGAAAACAGCCATTAAGCAAGTATCTTAGAAGAGAACATGCTAGGGGCTGTAGCACAAATCATCTCACTTCTCTGAGCCTCAGTTTTCCTATCTGTAAAGTGAAGATCCTTTCAGTCACCTGCTGCATGAGGGTCAGTAAGGCAGATGACTTAGCACCCCATGTCCTGTTTGCCCTTTCTGAATGTATGGAAAATGATGGCCCATAGTCCTGTCTTTACCGAGGAAGAGCATTCTCTCATGGGGACTGAAGTTCTGGGGATGGCTTTCCTCCAGAACAGAAGATACATTTTTTTTTTTTGGTCCGGTCGTGGGGCCTGAACTCTGGGCCTGGGCACTGTCCCTCTGTCCCTCAGCTCTTCAGCTCAAGGCTAGCGCTCTACCACTTGAGCCACAGCGCCACTTCCGGCTTTTTTCTTTTTGCTTATGTGGTGCTGAGGAA